ATATTTGCAGATTAAACACCAGCCACTGCATTACTGGTCTTGGCTCACTAGGTGTGTGCTATGGGACCTTTCTCATATTTACTTATTGAGTTTTTTTTTGTATATTAGGGCTGCACAGTAGCTTAGAGGGTAGCAGTGGGGCTTCATGCCTCTGTGTGTTCAGCTTGCATGTTCATAGTATTTGTGTGGACATCCTCCAGGTTTTCCAGTGTCCTCCTGCTGTCTAGAAACAAACATATTAAGCGAATGGGTGTCTGCAAACATATGTGTGTGAGTGTGTGCTCTGTAATAAACTGGCATCCCATTCAGACTGTTCACTAACTAGTGGTCTGTGCTTCCTGTGGCTCTGAATTTGATAACTGGTTATAAAAAACAGATACATGGATGTTTGGATACTTCCTACCTGATCTAACAATCGGTATACTTTATTGATCCCCGGTGTGGAATTCTGGGGACATGCAGGGGAAGATGGCGTTCGTTTCTCGGAACATTATACCCTGCCTTCATAATGGCATTATCAGGAAAACAAGATGTACGGAAGCACTGAGGTCCGGCGTATTGGAAAACCAACGGGCAAGACATTATTGTCCGTAGATGACGTGCTTTCCATTCAAAAGTAGATTGTCCATATTTCATCTGCCTATAAATGTGTTAGGGCATCCAGTTCTTCTTTACCAGCGGACCAGCCAGGGAAGTTCGTGGAATGGTGATAGGAATTTGAGCAGCGCACTTGGAGCCTGTGCTATCAGCTTTCTCCAGTAGCTCCGTGACTGATAGCAGATCGCCTTAGGTAGTGTATTTTTTATTTTTTTTTAACCAATGGCTGAAACAGTGAGCCAGCTAAGCCCGGAACAGTTTTGGTACACTTCCATAATCCTTTATATGCAGTTTCTTAAAATGTATCGCTTTATGAATTAAAAGAGGAGAGATTCACCTTCTCACTTTCTCACAATCTGTGTTGCATGTTTTTCTGTAGTGGAATGACTGAATAATTTGTGTGAAAGCCGAAGATCGACGGGGAAAGAACATTACATGTAGGGGGCGGTATGGTGGTTAGAACCGTTGCCTCACACTTCCAGAGTTGTGTGTGTGGAGTTTACGTATTCTCCATGTTGTGTGGGTTTTCTCTGGGTACTCCAGTTTTCTCCCACAGTCCAATGATATGCATTTAGGTTAATTATTTGAATTGCCCCATGTATATGATGCAGGGGGGTGGGGGGCATCCAGGGTGTACGTAGCCTTGTGCCCAGGGGGTTGAGATGGTTGCCCACGGTACACGGTTGTCATACTTAAGAGATATTTTAGACCTGAAAACTTTAGTGCCCACATATTAGCTGGCATTAATTAGCATCCCTATCTGTAAATCCCTACTAGGCCTCAATGCTGGACGTGCAATCTTTCATAATCTAATTATAGCCATATTTCTGCAGGTTCCTGTGCTTTCAGGAATTATTTGCGCTGGTTCACTTCTGTTACAGCTGGAAATTGAGTTAAAATGCTTTTAGTTGATCAGTTAAGTCTTTAGCGTCCTCTGGGAAAATTAGGGCGAAATCTTCTTGCATCAGTGAGCATACTGACAGCTGGCATTTTAATTTCCTAGCAAGATGTCTGAAGGTGATTTAACTTAAAGGGACAGTTCATCCCAAAAATGAACAAATATGGTTTAGAGGGGCTTTAGTGCTATCTGTCTAGGTTGCTCTGCTGAGAGTTGCCTAGTTTTGGAGATATCTGGCATAGAAATGTTGGACTTCTCTTGAATATAATGGGAATGAATGGTATTCTTTCTATGGTGAATAAAGCGCCAGAAAATTACATTTGAAAAATCCAACAGAAATCAGCAGTGTGATTTTCACTTATGGGGTGAACTGCCCCTTTAAGACCAATCATCTTCATTTCCTTCCTGATGTTACTCTATACATCATTCTTTATGTTTTAATGTATGTTAAATTTGTTGATTATTTGGAGTTGTCATAATGACCAGCATTCAAGATATGCAGTCACTATATCTCTACAAGAGCTAATTATCCAAAATTGGCTTGTAAGTGGATTTTTAACACTAATTCAGCTATTTCAGAGTATATTGATTGAGCTTAGTTGTGTGGCTTTTAAAATCTTTCATTCTTGGTTGGTTGCGTTCCCAGATAACAAACGATGATTATGGGAGCAGTTTAGATGGATGTCGATGACGGCTCTGGTGATGTATGCTGCTGTCTTTCTCCTTGCTACCGTGGGGTACAGAGCTACATTACTCTCCTACTGAAATATTGGAAATGCTCGTCTCGTGTTGTATTTCAATCCAGACCAGCTCTGCCTGTAGACCAGTGTCTCTCAACTCAAACCCGAGGGACTCCCTGATGGTCCATGTTTTTGTTCCCTCCCAGCTCCCTAACCCAAAATCTAATTTATTGTAAAAATAGGATATTCAAATGGATGATGCTATAAATGTTCATAATCATGATACGATATTTTGTCTATGTCAGCACACCTAAATCAAACAACTAAACACTGAATACACTTGTAACACCAAAGGACTAGGCTGACAACCACTGGTCTACTCTTATAGTCCGAATACATGCAGTGCTGTCATGACCATGAATTGCTCATTGTGGGTGTGACCCTGTAATGGGCTGGCATCTTGTCCAGCATTTGCCCTGTGCATTCTGGGATGGACTCCCACCTCACCCAGTACACGCTTATAGAAGGTGGATGCTACCTGCATATTAATTGTTTAGGTATGTTTAGGTTTGTGTTATTTCTAAAACCATAAGATTCTGACAGTTGTAGGATTGAACCATTTTCTGGCTTTTCTTGAAGGATTTGGGTATTTCTTTGTCTTGAGAGATCGCCACAGCCAGGTCAGAAGTTCCCTCGCTTTATATTAAACTTGTACTTCTCAAGTGAGGCAAAAGTGGTGTAAATGTATGAAAATGGGACCCGTCCCTGGTACTGAAGCACATTGAAGCTCCTCGCATGCGTTCCGGGGGGCAGCTGAGGCTGAGGTCACTTCAGTTACCTTTTGATATCGTTTCCTGAGAAGAGAGATCCAACAATTTAGCTGTATTTCAACATTCAAACGAAATATTTAATTGATACTAATGGTGACATTTTGCACTGTTGCAGAATTTAAATTTTAAAACATGCTGTAGAGATTAGCCAGTCCTTCTAATGTTAAGTGGCTCAGTGAATTTAATAATTGCTCCAGGGTTACAGTTTGAAATGCAGTGTATTGAGTGCAGGACGTTCTCTTGAATTCTCCTGTTTCCAATCCAGGATTGCAGTCATCATAGTTCAGGCAACTTGGCTGTTCACAAGTAGCTTAATATGAAATTTTATCTTTGTTATTGCTTGTTTAGGGGGAAAAAGATGTGTTCCAACCTTAGAGGGCCAAGTTGGATCAGCTATATACAGACGCTCCTCTCCTTACGAACTTTCAACTTATGAACTTTCAGACATACGAACGAAGAGGACTGCAAGTCCAAATTGTGTTCATTGGGCTTCCGTTTCCTGTCCACAACATCATTTTTTTTCTGCGCGCCAATTCCGCCTAGTATGACTTCTGGCCGCTACTCCCGCCGCGCAGCAGCGTAGCGTGCAAACTCCCAGCATCCTAGTTCTTTGTACTTGTGTATACCCTTAAAATGATGTTGAATAACGACTTATGAACATTTCATGTTACCAACGGCCATTTGGAACGTAACTCATTCGTAAGTAGAGGAGCATCTGTATATATATTTTTTTTCCAACATAAACCCTGAACCAATAAATAGTCGTGAATGAACCAATTTATGTCGCGTTCTGAGTTCTTAGATGTCGATAATGAGAGCTCCCCAGGACAGGAATTGAGCGGCCTATGAGTGAGCCCATTTGACATGCCAAGCGTGCTTCGTTGTTGACTGGGCAGGACGATTGTGCTCCGAAACCCCACCCCCCACTGCGATCCATTCACCTCCAAATAGAGAGCAAGAGCTATTGTCACCTAGGAGAGGCAAGAAGTAGTTTAGTAAATATGTTTTGCAGTGCTGTAGAAAGAGCAGAAAATTACAAGCAGTTACAGCAGCTGAAAGACACACACAATACACTAGTGACATGATAAAAAATAAATACAAGAAACAGTAACGCAAGGTGCAGATGTATAATGTGCAGTTGAGAAGGGATTTACAGCAGTGAGGAGGAGTAACAGTGAATTATGATGGCTACAGGGCAGGATGACCTCAGCTCTCTTACTGAAGGTGCTTCTTTGTCTGGCCACCAGGGGTGCTGTTGTGCAAGGGGCGATAAACATTATACAAATTGCTAACTATAAGTGTTTTTTTTGTATTGCCTGTTTAAAAAGTCTGTACATTGAATTTAACATTTATGTAACTAGTTACCTGTTGTGAAAACAGTCATTAGATTTCCATGAAAGAGAGGTGTAAGGAGCATGCAGTGATACAGTGTGTTGCCCCACCCATCATATGACAAACCACCTCAGGGGTGAGACCTGAGTGCAGCCATGTGGTGGCTGATACCTCAGCACCACACTAATCCGAATGGACCAGCGAGTTTTTTTCCAGTGGCTGGAGTGCCAATCCTGCCAGCAACCCCCAAGTTATTCCCTGTTAGTCAGAGGATGGATGTAGATTAACGTCATACCCAGGACAAAGCAATTGCAGGTTGAGGGCTTTGCTCAAGGGCCCAATGGAGTAGAATTACTCTGGGCATTCACGGAACTTGAACCAGCAACCTTCCAGTTGCTGACATAGATTCCTAGCCTCAGATCCACCACTACACCCATGAAAACTCACCAATAAATATTCTTACAAAGCATTATTTATGATCTCAAACAGCTGATTTTTAAATGAAAGATAATTAAAACGGGCGGTAACTAAGCATTTAACTAGCTAATATGATCATTTTCCATGGTCATTTCCATAAAAATGGCTGAAGCATGTGATATGCACAAATGTTTTTTTTTCTTTTCTTTCACCTGATGCATTTCTCTTGGGACCCGTGGCCTGCAGCTTGATCGCCATGACGACCGAGGTAGGCACCGAAGCCGAGCCCAAGCAGGAGAGCCAGGGGCCCGCAGCGACACAGCCAGGGCCAACCCAGAGCACCCAGACGGCCTCTCAGTCTAACGGGGAGCAGTTCCCAGCCGCAGCCGGGCACAGCACACCCGCCAGGAAGGACCAGGTGACCAACGACACCCTCATATAACAGTCCAGGCCTTATGGAGAAAAGTCCGAATTTGGGGAAGCTTTGAAGCATGCGGTTTTAACGATTTCTCCAGTCATTTTCGTCCTGTAACATGAATCCAGGCCATTATGTCTTAATTTCTCGAATGTGAGACCACCCATCGTGCTCTGAGACGCCCCCTGCTGGTGTGGCCTTTAACTACGCCAACACAGGTCAAGTGGATTTTGCCCATGTTTTTCACACCAGAAATATGATTAAACCAGAAACTGTTGGGAAAATTTTGTTTCTTGTTCTATTAAACTATTACTTCCCTAAGGCTTATTTAAATCAAACAGATTATTAAAATAAAGAGTTATTTATTAATTTCTTAGTCTGCATTATCTGGAATAGTTTTGTATCCAATTATGCAAGTTATTTTACTGGAGCACTTTGGGTTTAGTTGGTTCCAAGGTTCTAGAGCAGAGTCCATGTGACCCTGAACCACAAACCTTTGGTTTGGTTTATAGGTCTGTGTTCTTAATCGCAGTGTTACTTCACACTGAGAACAGTCTGTGGTGGTTCTCAGTGTAAAGTGTTTCTTCTTATTGGATCGACGTCTTCGCTCCCCAGAACGGAGAGAGGCTTCTGGAAGGCACCCCCCCAGGGCGACACGACTACTTACAGTTTGAGGACGACAAAGCGTCTCAGAGGTCCTCGTCCAGCAAGCTCTCCAGATCCCCAGGGAAAAGCTCCAAGAGGCCGAAGAACATGCAGTGTAAGGTCACGCTCCTCGACGGGTCCGACTACACCTGCGTGGTGGAGGTGAGCCGGGGGGGGGGGGTCGATTTCTCCATGAGTTACTTTGTTTCACCTGGTTGGTGTCTGAGTGATGAGCAACCTGGTGGTTATGTATCATTTCATTGCTGCTGAATTCATTTCATTTCATCTTTTAAAACTCATTTGCGGAACGAGCGTTCAGTCAGCCTTAAAATGCCGGTCGAGCTCCACTGCTTCCTCTTACCTGACGCACAAATCAGCAGACAGCGCTTTTCCCTTAGAATAATAGGATTTCGTTGCAATTTTTATTTAACACAGATAAATTTCACCAAGCAGCAGGGTGGTCCTCCATAATAACTCACTAATGGATGCTAATGACAGCATTTGTCGGGGAGTTGCCAAAAAAAATGTCTTTGTATATTCTGAAAATCATCTCACAGCCCCTCCCAATTATTAGAAGATTTGGTTGCAACCCACAGTTTGAGAATAACTGATTTAGCTGACACTTATATCCAAAGTGACACACATTTCTGAGAAAGCAGGGTGTAAGGGCCTCACTCAAGGGCCCAACGGTGACACCACTCTGCCAGCCATGGGATTTGAACCAGCGACCTTCCGATCACAGGCACTGCCCCCATAAAAGTATCATGATGCTTTTATATCTAAAGGAGATTATGAGGAAGATTACCATATGCCATTAGCCTACCCTGAGTAGTTTCAAGGTCAGAGAGGTACCCTGGAACAGCCTTTAGTATTCTTATGCTAATTATAGTACATGATGTAATGAATGTCTCCACTAGATTTGGCCGTGAGCTGAATTCAGCATGGTACTCACTGGGCATGCTCTGAACGCATATCAGTTATTTCTAACCCAGTGACAGCCTTGGCGTGTTCCAATTTTTATAGCTGATTGACAGCTGCATGTCCCCTCATGGAAGGGGGGTCTCCCAGCGGCACGGGGAGCGGATGAGAGACTCGCGGCATTGATCTGGGCCGAGCTTTTTATGCAAAATCGAGTTTCGACTTTTGCCGCCATATAAAGCGGAGGCAAAGGAAATGTTTCATAGTGAGGCTCCCAAACTGAAGGTTATCAGATGCAAATGTCTGGTTTGAGGTATTTATTAGTGTAACTTCCATGATACAGCTGATCTAGAGGCTCACTTTTGTGTTTTTCAGAGGTTTCCTCTTGCAGTTCAAAAATGTGATTCTAGGTCAATTTACATCTCTGAATTGTCCAATGCATGGACCTGGTGATGCATCTTAATGGGGGGGGGGCATAAAGTCTAAGTAATTCTGACTTTTTTAAATACAGTTTAGTGGGTTTGCATTATTTTTTTTGCATGATTGTTCATCATTGTGTTCATAATCCAAAATTTCAGTGAAAACAGTGAGCCATCAAAAATATAATTATTATTGGTAGTACAAAATAACACTGTTAAGCAGACACTAGAAAACAACAATCTGACTGCTCCTGTCTAAAAATACTGAAATAACTGTAATAGATGTAATGGGATGTTGGGGTATATCTCCAGGTGTGTGGAGTTTAAGTCAAGGGAGGTAATGCTAAGATTATACAATTCCTTGGTGAGACCTCACCTAGAATATTGTGTACAGGTTTGGTCACCATATCTTAAAAAGGACATAGCGGCCTTAGAAAAGGTGCAGCGTAGGGCCACAAGAATGATTCCTGGTCTTAGAGGAATGTCGTACGAGGAAAGGTTATTTGAGCTAAATCTGTTCAGCCTCAAGCAAAGGAGACTGAGGGGGGACATGATCCAGGTCTATAAGATTCTAACAGGTTTGGATGCTGTTCAACCGAATAGTTACTTCAGCATTAGTTCAAATACAAGAACTCGTGGCCATAGGTGGAAATTAGCGGGAGAACATTTCAAACTGGATTTAAGGAAGCACTTCTTTACACAGCATGTAGTCAGAGTATGGAATAGTCTTCCTGATAACGTAGTGCAAGCTGAATCCTTGGGTTCCTTTAAATCAGAGCTAGATAAGATTTTAACAACTCTGAGCTATTAGTTAAGTTCTCCCCAAGCGAGCTCAATGGGCCGAATGGCCTCCTCTCGTTTGTATAGTTCTTATGTTCTTATGTTCTTAATCAAAACACTGTCTTTGTGTATGTGGACTTTGATGTCTCACCAACACACCTATCAAACACACAACTTTCGCCTAAATCTTGATTTCTCAATACAGTCATACTGAAGGCTCCACTGTTCTGCAAACTTTGAAAAATGATGCCGGCTGACTGACTGGTCTCTGCAATCTTGGGGACATTTGACAGCAGTGTTGCAAAACTTACTTCACTGAAGTCAACTTTTTTGATTGGTTTAAGTACATTACAGTCAGTGAGACTCATATCTTAGCGTCAAGAGATAGCAAGAAAGACAAAAAACGTGAGTCCCATAGGTAAAATGTGAGACTTGATACCTATGTTTGAACAAGAATGGTGAAGTTAGTCCAGTGAAATTAGAAAGACTGGATAGGAATGAACACATCTCCTCTTTGGGCAGATTTTCTCCAGTCTCTGCACCAGAGGTGGATAGTTCAGGTTCAGAAAGTAAAAATGCAGACCAAGATTTTGTTTCACCCAACCTGTTGAGTACAATGTGACTGTGACTCTATATGCTCAACTGGTTGGTTTAAACAAAATCTTGTTCTGGATTTTTACTTTCTGGATCTGAAACTATCCACCTCTGCTCTGCACTAATGATGCACCATGATTTCTGGCTGGTCTCTCTGTGAACTGGGACGCATCTTTAAGCAACAACCATTCATTTTGCATTAAAGTGTATTGTACATATTACTCAGTAATGTATGTATATCACTGTCTAAAGGATTCTGTCATTTTTAATTCATTTTTATTACTGCAACTCATTTTATTGTAAAACTAATAAAATGTAAATGTCATTTGATAGACATCTAAATAAAATCCTTAAACAGGAAATGGAGATCTTTGAAATTAAGGAAATGGATGTAATTTATCTTGTGCGACATTTGTAATTTTCTCTCTTAATCTTATTTTCCCTGGTTAAGCACTCCTAGTAAGTGGATCGAAGCTCTGTTCTTTCTGCAGGGAGCAGGTGTGAATATGCATTTTGTAAAGCCTGGAATGTCAGCCGTTGCATTAAGCCGCATGTGGGGAGGTAGAATAATGTAGCATATATGTCTGTGATTTGCAAGGCTGATCTCTGAAGTCTGAGCATTAAACATCAGTGTCTTCATCAGAGACGATTCTCTAAGTTCAAGTGTCTCGGAGCGAGCGTGATTTTAATGAGGTTATTTTTGATGTGGCACGGTCTCCATCAACTAGCCTAACGCGTCTGGAGCGAGGGGCCGACGAATCCCCCGGATTACCTCATTTGTGCAAATGAGGGATCTTTTCGAAAATACTTTGTTTTCTGTAATGACACATTTTTCATTCACATCAAAACACTTTTTTTTTTTTTGTGCGAGATTTTCTGCAGCTGGGTCGTGCCAAATTTGTCTAGTCAGGGGCTTCTGACACCAAGGGATTTAAAAATAGGCCAGAGCTGGGCAGCAGTAACGTGCTCAAATCCCGCTGCTCTGTGAAGCTGCAGAAATCTATCCTACGATTAATCCAGTAGTTTTCCCGTCTCTATACGTTTCACATCCATTTAGTCAGGTAGCTGGGCTGCAATTTACTTTATTTTTGACCATTTAGACAGCTGGACGCTTCGCTGGAGTAATTTCAGGTGCAAACTGAATAAGCATCAGTGTGGACCCTCTTAGGAAACACCTTCTTAGTCTTTTATGAGTTGTGTGTGTCCTTGAGATGCCTCATATTCTTGGAAATAACTCTTAAAAAACACACTAGACAATTGAACCTGCCGATGCTGTAATTGCCTCCAACCATAATTGCCTGCATTCATCCATCTGTCCATCGCCCAAACCACTTATCTCATGTAGAGCCTTGGCGAGGCTGGAGCCTGTTCCAGGAAGTACAGGACAGAGCGTGGGGGAAAACCTTGAATGGTCTGCCAGAAGAAACATCTGAACGATTATTTAAACAAAAAAACTTACAATACTCACTCAGGGAATGCTTGACTGTAGGAGGTACATCACTGAAATCTATAAGCCAATATTTGCACCATAAATTATAAACAAAGAAATGTTGGGCAGGAACCATGTGAGAAGTGGGGGTCTTCCTTTGAACTTTGATTTGCACAAAAGAAAAATAGCTCATATCACAGTCTGTCTGCAATGCTTCTGGAAAACGCCCAACCACTAAACAAGACCAAGGCACATGAGTTGAGGTCTTACCATGTCCCCATAGGGATGGTGGCCTTCTGGTGACATTTATTGATTACATTTAACTTTAATCCAGAGCAACTTGCAGTAGAAAGAAGGGTTACTTATTCATTTATGTGCATTATCTGGATTTTGAACCCACAACCTTTGCATTGTTACTGTGGTGCTCTACTTGTGGTGCTACAGGAGCCATCACACTGCTTTTTTTGCTTCTCTCTGTGCCGACGTTCATTTACAGAAGCGGGCAAAAGGCCAGGTGCTCTTCGACAAGGTCTGCGAACATCTGAACCTTCTAGAACGGGATTACTTCGGCATCACATTCCGAGACAGTGAAAACCAGAAGGTGACGTGCTCGCTGTGATGGATGTACTGCAAGGTTTCGTGACAGCTTAAATAATGCATGCTTTATTCCGCAGAATTGGTTGGATCCAGCTAAGGAAATGAAGAAACAGATAAGGAGTGAGTAATCCGTCATGGCTTTCGCTGTAACCTGTAAAGACAGAGGCTTTTGATGTCATTCATATGAGACGAAGACCCAGAAGATGGTAAACTTTATTTTTCTCTTTCTCCATGTGGGTTTCCACTTGGTAGTGCAATCGTAGCATTTTCCCAGGCTTGAAGAATTCCCTTTCTCTCTTGTTGTTTAGATGGACCCTGGAATTTTTCATTCAATGTCAAGTTTTACCCACCTGAACCCGCTCAGCTGTCAGAGGACATCACAAGGCAAGACCATAAGAGTGAGCCGTGGCTCGGCCAGAACAGCGGCTGTTTGAGGGCCCTGAGAATTCTGGCTGCCAGCTTGTCAGCCTGCTTCTGTTTTTCATTGTTCACTTTGAGTAAATAGAAACTGCTGATCTCTGATCCTTTGGACATTTTCTGGCCTGGTCCAGCACCTCTCAACTGTTTCTGCATTGTACTGTTTCTCAAATCCGAATGTGTACATGTACAAATCAAATCAAAATTTATTTTGAGAGCACATTTAAAACAACAGAGGTTGACCAAAGTGCTGCACAAAATCAAACAAATCGAACTAAATGGGAATGATAATAGGAATAATATACATACACATAATTACTGAAAATGCATGTAAACCAGGTTTGGGGCCATTCCAGAATGCATTGATCAGTTTCAATCCAAATCAGGAAATGGAACTGGAGTAGGATTTTAAAACTCCCTTAAATTTGAATTCCATTCCAATTCTGTTCCCCATAGTTTTTTTTTCAATCCCAACTCCAGTTCCATTTTTTGATTTGGGCTGATATTGATGAATGCATTCCGGAATGGCCCCAACCCTGACGTAAACTATTTGACAGTTGTTTTTATTTATGGTTAACTCATCTAATCATTCCTCTTCTGAATTCTCATCAGGGTTTAAGAATATGGTGCGATTTTATTTACACTGTTTGGGTTTGTCAGGGGGTTCGAAAGCTACAGTGAAAAATCTGCAGCCTCGTCCGGTGCTTGATGCCTGTCTCGCTCCCTCAGGTACTACCTCTGCCTCCAGCTGAGGGACGACATCGTGTCGGGCCGCCTGCCCTGCTCGTTCGCCACGCACACCGTCCTGGGCTCCTACACGGTGCAGTCCGAGCTGGGTGATTACGACCTGGACGAGTACGGCAGTGACTACGTCAGCGAGTTTCACTTTGCCCCAAACCAGACCAGGGAGCTGGAGGAGAAAATTATAGACCTGCACAAGACCTACAAGTGTGTTACGTTCCACGTGGCATTTCACCCACTCAGGCTACTAAAAAAACTACCGTACATTGCAGTGTATTATAACTTTGATTTTTTACATTGAATTAATATTTTTATTAGGGCTGTGAAAATAACTCCTTAATTTCGATTAATTAGTTATAGAAAAATCACAGTTAATCACAAAACCTGTAACTGATTAGATTAATCATTTTTGTATTATTTCAACTCTTCATTTGAAATCCAGTTTAGTTTTGTTTAATTATTCGTGTCGGTTTAATAGTTATTAGTTTATATATTTCTGTTTAGTTTTTGTATATGTTAGTTTCAGGTAAGGTTTTAGTAATTTTATTTCTAGACATTTGTAGAGATATGTCGTGTGTAATCATTAGAGTAACCTACGTGAGTACACTGTACATTATGTACATCCTCTTAATGGGCAAAACATATTCCAGGTATTATTAATGATTTAGAAGTAACACTGTCAGGTACCAGTAAAAAAACAAAGCTAGCTAAACAAGAAAAATGGTACTGGAAGTATCAGCCGTATAAGTATTTATTTATATTTATGAGAATGTTTTCCATAAGTTGTTGTTAACGATAATAACCCTGCTACACTATTTACTTAGTGAGTCTGTCTATCATGGGCATTTCATGTGGTATGCAGGTTTAGCACACTGCGCTGACAGATAGTTAATTAAGCACTGCTCTCATTAGAAAATCTTATTCCTCCCCTGAATCGAAATGCCTGGCTGTAAGTCTGCCTCATCATTTTACATAACAAATTCACTTTTATTCTCCAGCTTCCTGATATCATTCCTGGGTTGGAATTTTCCCCATTCTCATATTTCTTTATTTTTTTCCGCTACAAAAAATATGTAGGTAATTTATTTCAAAGAAAAGGTCATTTGTGGTTGTGAACATTCAACATTAAATCCATTTGCAATCTAGCAAAACATTCATCCAACTTCATCGAGCATTTATTCACTGAAGGGCCAATGGGAGCCTGGGGCATGAGGCAGGGGGCACCCTGGACAGGATGCCAGCCCGTCATGGGGCACACACTCAAGGGCAATTTACTGACAGCAGCTGACTTAAACACCTGTTTCAAGTTGTAGAAGGAAATCTAAAGAAACACAGGTAGAACATGCAGACCTCATACACACGCAGCCAGGGGTAGGAACTGAACTCCGAGGCAGGAGGGCTACAGTACAGCTCACTGAGCTTCTGTGCCACCTAACTAACAGACTGATGTTTGGAATTATAGCCTAAGACATAATCACTTCTGAAATAAACACTTTTAGGGATCCTGCGGTGTAAGGAGGAGCCACCGATGATTAGACCTGTTTGATAGCTCAGTTTTTAAAGATATTTCCTCAGATGCCCATGAAATAGAATCGATTTCACGAGATTGGAGTGTTTGGTAGCCCATCCCTATGGGGACACACTAGCTAGTTTTGTACACAGTGTGTCTGTGCACCTGGGGCAGAGTGACGCAGCTCTGGTGTCTGTTTCCCCCGCTCCTCCCCGACGCAGGGGTATGACTCCAGCTGAGGCTGAGATGCAGTTCCTGGAGAATGTCAAGAAGCTGTCCATGTATGGAGTGGACCTCCACCATGCCAAGGTGCCGACTGCCTTCTTCCGCCTTCCGTACGACCCCTAGTCCCAGTTAGGTTCTGGAATGGCTGCCAGAACAGCTGTGCGATGTTTAGTGCTCTACAAGCTGTATGCTGGGTCTCTTTCATTGGTTTGCTTCCCTTCCTCATGTTAGAAGCTGGATTGTTTTTAAAATGAGACATCTCTGTCTTTGTGGATTACAGCATGTTTGCATCAGCTCTTCATAGAGCAGTGACTGAAGGGCTCTCCGTTTAAATTTATGCTTTACTGTCAATCTACTCCTTCCCTGCTGCAAAGAGCCACACCCGAAGTGATTTAAAATTTAATGTCCTATTTTCAAGTCCGGTTTTGTTCCCTCACACACACTGATATTAATTGGAGCATCTTTGTCAGCTTTGTTTATGAGGCTGCAGTGGGTCTCCTGCTCGGAAAGGGGTTAGGTTGGGTAATTAATGTCAGAAACAGTTATGATAGTGTCAGCTAAATTAGGAACAACCCAGGTATTAGCTGTTAACTGTAGCGAGATTCATACGTTTTTTTTTTCCATTGGTGCATAGTAATCAGTAATAATGATGCAGAATTCAGTCTTGAATCAGTGTTTTTCAATACCATCTGTATTCTCAGCATGTAGTAGTTACTGTTGGTTACAGTAAAATTCTAAATAGGGTCTTTAAAGATAAACAAGTTTGTAACCGAGCAAACCACGTAGAAACATTTGTTGAATATGTTCAGTGCTATTAATGTCGGAGCACTCCCAGACAGCCCTGTAAGTCCCATAATCCCTAATGGGCCAGTTTTATGTTCAATGGCCGCAGGACTCCGAGGGTGTGGACATCATGCTGGGCGTGTGTGCCAGCGGCCTGCTCATCTACCGTGACAGGCTGCGCATCAACCGCTTCGCCTGGCCCAAGGTGCTCAAGATCTCCTACAAGAGGAACAACTTCTACATCAAAATCCGCCCCGGAGAGGTACGTCAGCCCTAACGGCGATGTCACATGACGCAGCCTGCCGAACCCCGGCCCTCTCCATTGCATTGTGGCATTAAAAAATCACAGTGATGTGAAAGACCCAGCTGAAAAAGTTCTAGAAAAAGAAAAAGTGAAGTTTCCGTGCCAGAAGTCCCACTGACTACAACTGAACTGAAGTTCTACTTTAAAGTATTGCTCAAATAAAACTACATTTTATACTGCACCTTTATGGTAGATTATGTAATTGTGGTTCTCATTACGGCTGTTTGCCGAACATCTTGGAACAAGCTGGAGACTTTTCCTCTGAGAGTCTTGATTTGTGAGATACTGGTATGTGGGGGAAAAAAGGTGAAATTTATCCCCAAAACGGCTCATTGTTCCGTTTGCTTAAAGTCTGGCTTGCACCATATTAGTGGAGTATCATCACACATAATATCAGGTTTCGAAATCACCTTTATAACAGCCTCTCCTGGCATTACAGGAGCCTTGAGTGATGTCATGTCCCTCGAAATGTTATGAATTGATGTTGCAGCCCCCATCCCGGATTTTTTTGCTAGATGAATCATCTTATGCTGAATATCACCATTTGCCGTGACCTGTCTACTCTCGGCTGTTATCACGAATGACAGATATCGCTCTTGTGAAGGTGTATTAAAAAAACAAAATGGCCACCTAAGGTGCCGGAATGTCGCATTTACTCCTGTTTCTCCGCCCCTTCGAGTTCGAGCAGTTTGAGAGCACGATCGGATTCAAGCTGTTGAACCACCGTGCGGCGAAGCGGCTGTGGAAGGTCTGCGTGGAGCACCACACCTTTTTCAGGTGCCAGCCTTGCCACCACTCGCCCGTGCGCCTCCACCCACTGCACGATCTTCACCTTGCAGCCCAAACACAGCCCTGTTCTTGTGAACCACATCACACATCCTGTAGCCACGCTTACTGAGGTGACAGTTTATATGACTTATCAGTGTAAATCAGATTAACAGGGTTGGTAGCTCTCGCGCATCTGGCGTGACTCTCACGCTTTCAGACTCTCAGGCTCACTCAAGAAATCTTATGGCAAGTCTGTATTATTCCATTAAAAACCTAAAATTAGCTACATCAAAAGCGCTGGGGCAGTGTGCAAACCCTACAGACTGTTTACAAGGTATTAAAACTGTTACATGCATGTAAATGTGTGTGCAGACTTGTCTCGAACTGAAAATCTCACGTTGGCCAGCCAGCTGACCAAAGTAGGCAACCCTGAATTAAATCTGATCAGCATTCGGTAAGATAAGACGACCACCACCATCACCCGCCAACTCCCCCCCCCGCCCCCGACACACACGCACAGTCACACACAGAGTTCATGATCATCCTGATGGTTCAGGATTCAACTGATAGGTGACATGGGCATCTCACTGCTGTATGTTCTTTGGCAGTGCGTAGGCCTCTCCTTCAGTGTGTAACGGTCTTCTGTAATGTGTTAATGGACATGTAGAGACACGAAAATACACTGCAGAAAAGTCTAAAACATTGTACAAGATGCTTGTGCACCTTGCACACTACAGAAGAGCCTTACACACTGCAGAAGAGCCTTACACACTGCAGAAGAGCCTTACACACTACAGAAGAGCCTTACACACTGCAGAAGAGGGTGACACACTACCAAAGAGGCCTGTGTCAAACTCTATCACTAGACATAGGAGAATGGGCGTATTCCATCTTTAGTAAAAAGTCGTCAAAAAGTAGACATATGTGGTTTCCATCAGACAGCAGTGATGCGGTAGGAATTAATGAATTATTGTTACAAAATAAGAAAAGCAAAACTTTGGCGTATTTGACTTGGTTGAGCCAGTTTTGAGGAAAAGGGTGTTTAGATGCATCAATATTCAGGTGGTAACACTTCCGAAAGGGAGAGCGATGGTGATGTAACAGTTTGCAAGAGTTTACGCTTCACACAGACACTTGATCCTGCTCGAGTCATGAGCCGCTCTCCCATACTCAGGGCCCTAATTAAGACAAAATTAAGAGGGATGTTTCTGTCTACAGAGTAATGGCATGTGAGCATAGGTACCAAACTTTTATCTTTCCCTCCCAAAGGTTGGTGTCTCCAGAACCCCCTCCCAAAAAGTTTCTCACGCTGGGCTCCAAGTTCCGCTACAGTGGTCGCACCCAGGCCCAGACCCGGCGGGCCAGCTCTCAGATTGTTCGGCCTGCTCCTTACTTCGAACGCTCCTCCAGCAAACGCTACACCATGTCACGCAGCCTGGACGGGGGTAGGTCCTATACACCTTTGGGGACACTTTCACCTGGGGGGGATGTTTCCCACCAAAATGTGGAGTCACGTCTTAGTTCAGACCCTCAGTTTATGATTTCTGGCCCCTCTTTTCCCCTGCCTTCTTTATTGGTCATCCCCAGGCCAACATTAACAGGCAATTCACAGAAATCCCACAATGCACTACTCCTACTTAAGCTAAGCTGTGTTTATTTTGTGATGCCTGTAGAGAGATTAGCCGCCATGTGCTTTTAATGTTTTCTCCATATGTTTTTTTTTTGTCGTCTTTTGTTCTACCAAGCATATCTGTGCTGTTTTTTTCCCCTTTACTGCCTCCTGATTAATTAGGAGACTATTTTTTTTTATCACACTCCTTTGAGCTGTCTAGAGACAGCCGGCTTCACTCAGTTGCCAGCAGGGTCCTTTAGTGATCACAATCGGGCACAGAAAAGGCAGCTATTTGAACACGGATAGTTTTTTCTGTCCTAATTGGGGTTTCACTCTGGGAAATAAAAAAAAAAATTATAACATAAAATAAAAGGTGCACACATGACATATAATTTTCGACACTGAATGCACTATTCACTCCTTTACACAGGGATCACTCTGCGTTGCTGGATCAATCATCCAATGTCTTCCATAAATTTCAGAAATCCAGTGTCAGCCTTTGGGTCGCCGGTTTTGCTGCATGTGCGTGATTTCCTTGTAGCTGCTGCATTGCTGCACGCAGGAAGACTAAGCGGACATTTATGTAAGAGCATGCATCCCAGAATCGCTACCTTGCAGCTTTTTTTTTTAATGATTCCAGGCCTGCAAGATGATCCCAGATCAGTTCTCCCATCCCTCATCTCATCTTCGGTCTCCTGTTGAATTGTCGATGCTGAATTCTCACCGCAGTGTCTTAATTATCTCTCCAGCTCAGCGGAATAATCCAAACAATGCGCGGACAGTTTTTCCCGGAAATAAACTGCCATTCCGAGTAAATGACAATGGTCTAACAGGTAGATACGTCTTGTGCTCTGTTTAACTCGTAGGTGTAGTAGCTGGAATGCACCCCACCCCCCCCACACACACACCCTGGCGACACCAATCTCCCGCTTTGGCTCAGTCACTGAGGTGTCCGTGCCCCCTCCCCTACCCCCCACCGCTTGTCGTCCCTGCATGCCATAGTACATCCTGCTTGCCATGCGATAAACACCATTGCCGTTTCTGACACACAATACAGTGGCTTATATATTTTTTCTCAAGCTGATACTGTAAACAAGAGTCAGATTAATTTGAAGGCAAAAAGATTTGAAAGACCATTTGCCCTCCAGGGATAGTGCAGGAATTATGACACATGTGAAAGGATTTTGCCATCATAAAAAGACTGCATTGATAATTAAAATTATGTGTACAGTTGAGATTAATTGGCATTTTAGTTTCTAAGACATTGGAGAATATTCTAGAATCTAAAAGTTTTTTTCAGACTTTGTTAACGAAATTTTAAAATGAAATAAATATGAGGTTATTCAAATATACTAGATGGTAAAACTTGACAGCTAGGAGAGGTAGATCCTGTTTAACAAATCTGTTGGAGTTTTTTGAGGAAGCTACTCAGGAATTTGATAATAAGAAGGCCTATGATGTCATCTACTTAGATTTCCAAAAGGCTTTTGATGTTGTTCCCCACAAGAGGCTCTCACTTAAACTCA